TTTTTTCTTTTTAAATCATAAATATAATTTTGTACACATTTTTCTTCCTTTCCTTTTAAAATGTATTATTATTTTATTTTAGAATTGTTAACTATTTAATGATAGTATGTATAGATTTCTTAAGACAAAAAATAAGAATGGTGGATATAATATGATGGAAATGCATTATATATTTGTATTTTTTTTTTCAAAAATTAAAAAATTTGTCTGAAAGAATTTTTGTTAAGTACCTACACATAATATTTGTCTACTGTCGCAGATGAATAAAACAGAGACCCATGAGTATAATGTGTGCAGTGTACATATGTTTTGCTTTAAAGCCACTGTAAGGTAGATACGTCCAAATTTCACATTCCAAGTTTGATGGACGCAATAAGCCAGGAATGAAAAATACATTTACAAAAATACTAAATCATTAATAGATTTCAATTACTAATTAGTTGAAAACTAGAAATACAATAATAACATTCATTTTAATTTTTAATTTATCAAAATTGTGGCTTGGCGTGGCGTGGTTGCTGCAATTAATTATGTTAATTAATAATGTCTTATGTGGCTACTGGTTAATTAATAATTATAAAAAAAATACATAAAAATTAATGACTTAAAATTTTTATAAAACAATAATAGGTGTCGTTTTATATAAAATGTGATACCTAATGCTACAATTAATATTAAATTGTGATTTCTGTAAGAAAATCTATTATATATTAGTACACTAAAATGAATAACCATTTTTAAATTATTTTTTTAGTAACATTTAAAATAATTCTTCACTTTTTAGTTCATGCATTAAATGTACGAAACTTTTAGTTTAAAGGAAAGATAACTTTAAAAAGCGCAACATCATTAAATCTAATATACCTACTGTATAACATAACTTTATATATAAAAATAAGTTAGTGAGAATGTTTTATAATTAGTTTTAATTCTAGATTGATATGTGTAAATAATTTAAGTGAATAAGTTAGGATAACATAAATAAATATTGTATAATATATAACAATAATGTATTTCTCATGTATAAATATTTTTTAATAAGTTGTCATAAACCGTATTTATGGAAAGACATTTAATTTTATTACATAGGTAATAAGAATTAATACATTACTACAAAAGAAATAAAATAAATCATTTTTATGATAACTATTTATAAACAAATATAGAGTCTTAAGATTTTTTTTACTGTAATACTTAAATAGGGTTTTTTAATTCATAAAATGTTGGTCGTAAATAAATAAGTTGTGGTTTATTGATCAAACTTAATGCGGAATGTTTGAATGATAAAATACGGTTTTGTTTAATTAAAAGTTTCAAAGCAATAGCATAGGTAGTATATTATAAGAAGATTAATGGTCAGATAATTAGACTTGTTAGTTGATGTTATGTACTTATCTGAAATCTATGATAATATCCTTTTTTTATAACAATAATTCATTCTAGTGATTAGGCACAGACATGTTTTTAACGACTGAAACCCATAGTTTTTAGAACATTTTGAACTTTTGAAGGAAATTTAAACATTTGTAATTTTTATTTAATTATTATAATTTCTTTTATTTGAGTTGCCTTTTTTCTTTAACTTGTATCAGCTTTTATCACTATCTTTATGTATTTAATTAAATTTAAACACGTGTTTAAAACTTCAAACTATTAGAAAAAAACATTTTACACAAAAACTATAATATGTTATAGGCGCCTACATAATATTTGTGTCATTTTTATATTATTAAACTTAATTTGATACATTATTAAGTCATAATAATTTGATAATGTTAATAAATTAAACTAATCTGAAGTTTGTATCAATATTACAACTCAAATTTCTTAAATATTTGATATTAGTTTATGTTGAGCTAAAATAATTCTTATGTCTTAAAACTATTTACTTTTTATTTGCTTCACAATAACGTCAATGATGAGCATTTAATGTTTAACATAGAATTCATCAATTTGAACGATTATACAATAATTTATGAAAAAGTATTTAAAAACCGTATAATATTGTATACCTAGTGTATACTGTTACAATACAGTTATTTGAATTGAAATGGTTCATTAACAAATTTCATCAATTATTATTCATATCATTCGATATCAATTAAAATATGATCCAATAAATAATTCTTTAAAAAGGAATGTAAAACATAATTTTTCTACTACAAAAAATACGTATACACTCCATGTCTGTGTTATATAAAATAGACAATGTTAATATTATCGTAATTTGTCGACATTAATGTATATTAATATAAAAAAGTGTTCTTGGATTTAGTCATCTAACAAAAATCCCACTGAATCACATTTAACTTACACTTATCATTACATATAACCAACCGAAATATCACAAAACATTATGGTATACTATTACATTTTTAATGTTATTTCTTCGATTCAAAATAATTTTTAGATCATTGTATTGGTATATTTATATTTATTTATTTATTTATTTGTGAACGGGCTTGGAGTCTAAAAGTGCAACACAATTTATAATAAAGATTAAGAAAGATTTAACAATAAAGTAAGCAGACGCCAAAACAATATATAAAATAGACAAATGGAAATTATGTAAAAATAAAAACATAAATAAATTAAAGGTAAAAATAATAAAACAGACTGAAATAGTATTAATAAAGCGTTTTAAAAGAAGCTTAGGTGCTCCGTTACAAGTGCGCACATACGGTGAATGGGATTATTTCTAGCGTATAGTAGGTGCTGTGGAAGGGAATAACAAAGGGAGAATTAGATCTAGTAAAGTGAGAGAGAACTTTAAAACTAATTAGAGAAAAGAGAAAGGGAGTATCTATACGTCCGTCAATAAGCTTATGCAAAAACGCCATTTTAGCTGTTATATCAGCCAGGGACAAAAGTCTAAGTTTATTCATAATAGGCCTATAATCATGCAATGGATGTGGAATATTTAAAATAAATGACGCCGAAGACCAAAAACGCCTCTGGACTCTCTCAATGCAAGAAGAGTCAGTGACCGTAAAAGGGTTCCAAATAATAGAAGAATATTCAAGAGGGTACCGAACAAGAGAGCAATACAGAGCTATGAAAGAACTGGAGAGCTTAAAATCTTTTGACGCGCGTATGACAAATCCGAGCATCTTTAATGCACGACAGCAAACGGCCTCTAGCTATGGTAATGAAAATCAAGATTTGGACAAAAAAGAATACCCAGGTGTTTCTTCCTAGTAACAATTGTTGCTTGACCCAATTATTATGTACGTGTGGTTAATAATATTACTGTTAGGTACGGGTAAAATACATAGATTGGCATTTTCCTACATTGAAGCTTAGCCCTATAGAATTGAACCACAAAACAAGAACATCAAGCCCATTCTGGAGGGTAACACAATCAGATACAGACTCAATTGTCCTGAATATTTTCAAATCGTCAGCAAACATAAGGAACTTATAATCATTATTTATATTCATAACATATAAATATATTATTTTATTTATTTTTATTACAACACTCTGTTTAAAGATATATTTAAAAAATCCTCTAGTACACACATGATGAACATATGCGATATCATGGTGCATAATACTACAACATCTGATCCTGACGATTTTGGACTCGCCCAAATACGTGGAAATTATTCGACGCACGTAAACGAAATTACTCAAGTGTACGGATACTCTGGTTTAAGATGTAATGAATATGTTATATGTGTATACAGAATACAGACAACACAGTCAACAATATCTTGTAACGTGAAACAAATAAATAGGTAGCTCGGATAAAACATACTGTATAATCAACTGAATAAATAGAGAAAATAACTCCAGTGATCGAGTTTTTAAATGATAATACACAAACTGAGTTATAGTATCTTTAGAGAGAGACGTGATTATGTAAATTAGTACAGGAACATTATTAATTCTTTATATATCGTCGTAGTACTATACACATTATTGGATTATTATTGTGCGTCGAATAATATTATAATTTATTAGGTTGTATAAATTATTGAGCTATGATTCTTGTATTACCAAAAGCTAATAAAAAAATAGGTTGTATACCTTTATAAATTATTAACAGAGTATACAAGTCAGGAGGTGACTGTCCAACACAAAAAAAAACTTTAAACTCGAGTCAATATAAAATATGAGTTTGTCATAGGTATTGTTTTTTAAGTTCGTTTCAAATTTTATATCTGAGATCACTTTTAATGTATAATATCGTATAGGTACGGAAAATTATAGCAAATAAAAAAATTATTTTCTATAATTTTTTTTTTTATCGATACATTGAAAATATGTTAATGTATAATAAAATCGTGTAGGTATATACCTACGCATTGTATCTTTTGTCTACTGTGAAATGTTAAATGCTTTTGATAGTGAATAACATGTTTTGTAAATCAAATGAAACAAAATAAAAATAAGATCTTTTAAATTTTTATATATATTTAAATAATTATATAATTTAATATATTGCCATGGCCTATCAAGCTAATATTATGCAGTGTTTCAAAATCATAAAAAAATGACCTCTTTATAATAAAAATAATATCCTATGACTAGCTAAATAAAACAATTTATACTGTTTTAAAATAAATACTATACCAATTATATTTTACAAGAGTGTGCCCAGGGGGTAGTTTTGGGGGTTCTAACCATTCCCAAATTAATTTTTTTAATGTTTCAAACTTATTTTTTTATAAAGAAAATACATACTTATATTATATTTAAATAAATTAAAACGACCAACAAAACAAAATCCTAGGCACGCCCCTAATTTTGTACAAATTTTTTTAGTATATATCAACTCCAATAAATTTAAATTTATATATTTGGTGCAAACATCTCTGGTTATTCCTAAACTCGGTACATTTGTATGGTTAACATTTAAAAATCCGTCTATTGACAATAATATCCTACAGCGTCGGTACCATTATGTAGAGGGTAGGGGGGCTATCTATCTGGAAGATGGTAACCACCATAATAATACACGTCATACGAGTGGTATATTATTTAAGTGCACCTACCTGGAACAACGGTCGGTGATATCATCAAGAAGTTTATGCAGGCGGCTCCGGGTCCGTGACCCATCAAAGAAACGTTCTCCGGATCGCCACCGAACAGTGCAATATTCTGTTGCACCCAGTGGAGCACAGCTATTTGATCCATAAGGCCGTAGTTGGCCACACGAGCTCTAGTGTTGGGCGAATCATTGGCATTCAAAAAACCTGAAATATATAACAAATCCTATAATTATTATATTATTCTCCATATTCAAAGACATTTCACTAATATTTCAATTTTTTTTTTCAATGAAAATTCTATAAAAATTGAAGTGACTCAGCTAACTTGGAATTGATACCAAATCCACCAATGCCTATATTTTATTGATTTCCGAAATATGTGATATTATACTGAAGTGTATGAAATAATATTGGTCTCATTTCAACCTATTATAAATTTATAACAGTGTAAACCGTGTACATTCATCATTAGATCAAAAATATTTCATTTATTTTATTATATATTTAAAATGAAATCCTTTCTACAGAGAAAATAATATTTAAGTTTTTTTATGGTCATTGATCTTCCGAATAGTGTACAAGTATATATCATCAATCAATTAAACATAAATACTATACTCATTACCAATAAACCAATTAATATTTCTAACTCTAATTGTATTGGCTATGACTAAGTACTAAATATGACAATTGACAATGTTTAACTGATATACATTAAACTATGTAGGTATATTATTATAGCAGTGTATAATATATTATATAAAGTATAGACGTTAAAGACGTATAGTACTGTTATTTATAATATTTTCGGTCAATTAGCATTAAGTGATGGGATGATTAAATTAATTTGTTTCCATTTTTTCGCAATCTAATACAAATAATGTTAGCACAGTCGTACAGAAATATAAGTAATCAATGTCGTGTCACAATAATGATGCATGAATGCGAAATTAATCCTTCGTGAATATTAATTTTGTACTTAACATTTATTTCGGCTATGGCCACTCGTAAACTCTAAATTGTAAGCTGATCGACTACGTTGTTTTTATTCTGTTAAAACTATTGTTCTATGACTTGTAACAATTTTAGTTTTCTAGTATTAACAGTAATTTTTATATATTTTGATATTTGCAGTATTTACTGATATAAATAATAGTCAATACATATAATACATACAACTATATTTAATGCATTTTTATTATTTTGTATTTGATATTGAGAAACTTAAGAAACTACTATGAATAATATTATACACAGATATTATAATTAATTAGTAATTTCACATAAAAGCAAGTTTATATGTATTATGTAGTTGTAATTTTATGTAAGTAGGACTATCTATACAAAACTAATGGATACCCATTGTTTATATAAGCTAAATAATATATTTTATTTGTTTTTGAGTTGAAGGATTTGTTTTTTTTTTGGCATGTATTAAGAAAAAGTAAAACTTGGCTTGTTTTACGTTATAACAATGTTTACAAATTTAATTAGTACTGTTATTGATATTTTATAAAACTAAATGACAAGAACGACCTTCAATGGGATTTTCTTGTCGAATTCCTGAAAACGTTATACTACATTAATCCATTTACAAAAAAGTTTTAATGAGATGTACTGACGAGAAAAGTAATTAAAGCAAAAAAATAAATATTTCAATTTTTTAACTTCCAGTTAAATCCTTCAAAATTAATATTAGAGTGCAAAGATTTATACTAGGTACTTGGCTTTCATAAATCCAATCAAATAAAATTACATCCTACCAGTTGAGTCAACTTTTTTTCAGAGTTATTTTATATTTTTTTTTATAAATAAACATATCATTATTTATATCATTTTTTTTCTGTTGAGACATCGCAGAATTTACTTATGTTAGGATTATATTAAAAATGTATAAATAAGAAGTTCATTAATAATAATAAATAATAATAATAACAATAATAAAGCAATTATTTTTTTATCATTATTTAAATTGTTATTTGATAAAATGAGTAAAAATAAAATAAAAAATATTTACCTTAAGTTGCAAGATAACATGATTTTTTTATGCAAACATTTGTTGATCATTTATTATCTTTAAATTTATCATACAAGCTACTTTAGATTAGATACTGAACTCAGATGGAAATAATTATAAATATGTATTTATGCAATTTATCAATAGTTTAAATAAAAACGTACGAAATACAAAACAATATTTATGAAAAATATAAATATGCATTAGTTGAATAAAATATTTATAAATTTTCTATTAAAACTAAATTTTTGAATTCAATTTTTTTCGTTGAAGCAGCCTATGATGCCTACTTAACAGTATAAATACACACTCAGCTACTTAATATATCCATACTTAATATAATGTGCACATGAATAGAAAATATTAAATTAAATATAATATAATCGTTTAGTTCACATTAGGTAATAGTTATACACTTGCTATTCACTGACACAATAGCACAGATTAAATATTAAATCACATGTTTAAGTATATTTTTATCCAACAGCCAAATATCACGGCAAATATAGATACATACATATTATAAATCTTTTTTTATTTTTTTATATTTTTATTATGTAATATGCAATATGTACAATTCAGGCACAATAAGAAAATGTGAGCAAATATTATAGATATAAATACATATTCTTGTAAATATCTTAGTAATATTAATATTCAAGGGGCACCTGCCATACCTGATGAGTATTTCTACACTATGCGTTCATGTGTATTAGACAGTATAGTTAAATAATATATGGATGTGGTATTATTATTAAATTTCCAAAAACTAAGAGTACCTATGTAATTATTTTATAAATATTAGCATATGCAAGAAAGCACGTTGTATAGGATCATACAAATCTTTGTGTTTTTCATACGAAATATATGAGACCATAACAAAAAATTTTACAATCATCATACATAAAATGACAGCAAACCCGTTTTAACAATGTGTTCAAAAAAAAATATGAATAAAAGCGGGTAAGTCGTGGATGTCGCTCTGCTTTACAGTAGGTTACTGTAATGGATGGAATTAAATTTGAATCTAATGATATTATATCATTGTATATACACGAAAAACGATTCTGAGTGGTGACGGTTTATCTGTCTAGGATGTATATTATAGATTATTAAAAATTTTCAAATCTTAGATTTAAAAAGAAAATTTTTATGAATTTCTATTTTAAAAAAATTTGAGAATTTTCGTGATTTTAACGTATGTTGTCAAAATTCAAACTTTGAATGCTTATAAAAAAAAAAAAATAGTGATTATGATTTATTCTATTTTCAACTCCTTTTGTAAAAATATGTTAGGATTCTTTTATTAATTTTTCAAGCTTTTCTGCCCAACAAATACATTTTGATCGATATTAATTTTAAAAAAAACTAATAATGATCGAAAATTGCATATGCCTATAAATAGTTTAACTTGAATCAAAATTTTTTGAAAATTGCATAGTGGATAGAATATTTTTATATATACATTCGGTGAAAATTCCATGTATTTATGGTCATTTTTTTTAAAGTTACATCAAAAACCAAAATTTTGTCGAAAACTGATTGTGCGTAAAATGTCCAGTTTTTCCCTTAATTTTTAGTTTGTTTATCCCGATTATGTAGAAAAATATTGAGAATTTTTTATTTTTGACTCCCCAAAATACCGACTAGATTCACTTTCTGATCAAACGAGGAACTGAAGTCGAAAATCGAAGCACTTTAACTGTCCCAAAACGTGAAAAAAAATTAAATTAAAAAAACTTACACATCGTAGTACAATCAATACATTCCTCGCTCCGCTCAGAATCTAAAATAGTTATTAATCATGTGAAAGTGAATATTGTCTACTATACGAGATTCAGCGCTGGTGTAAACAATGATTTACCTTTTCGATAAAACAAGATATTATATCGTTAACAAATTGAATAATAATATAGATTATGCATTAAATTTAAGAAAATTCCATATTATTAATGTACTATAAGGTTTAAGCTATTCAATATCCTACCATGTACAAAAACATATTTTGTATCAGTTAATAAATTGTTGAAATGATGTTATCGTAAAACTGGCAGGATGAACTTTTCTTTATTTTCATAAGGACATGGAAGCAAACCTTTTAAGTTGCCGTTACATCATGTCATGATGACCTTGCATATTATAAATAACTTAAAAAAGGCATAAAATAATGGTTATAAATTTCAATTTATTAGATTGCTTTGTTTTTCGAATTCCTTTTGAAATGTTGAATTTCTATAATCATTTTTAACTATAACTTGTCGAAGTCTAATTATTAAAATTCTCCATTATATTCAGCTTACTCAGCAAAATATAATTTATCGGTATATTCAAATGAACTTGGTGGAAACCTACTTTCTTCCCTTTGTTTCCTTTGTGTTTTAGTTTAAATTAAGACTATATTTAAATAAAAATAATATAAACAAAGTTTTATCGGAAAAAATAATGCATCCAATATAATATAACGATTGTAATCTACAAAAATAGTAGGTATACAATTAATAATAAAATACATCATATTAATACGTATTGATCATAATTTTTATAACAAATTAGTATGATATATTTAAACATACCTACATTTATTTAAATTGATTTAAAAAAAAAAAAACTTATTTAATTTCTTATTGCAATTTAAAATATTATTTTATAGATAATGAGTTGTTAGCGGTGTTCACTGAAATAGGATATAATAATTATGTAACAGTCATATAGTAAACAATTCTAGAAGTTTTGACTGTCTAGTGTCCATGGCGGGTAAAGTCATAAGTCACATAAAATGCAAAAACATCGATACAATTTTACGCTTAATGTCAGTGAATTTGAGAATTAAGAACTCTGTTGGACCTATATGGTCAATAATATAGGGTAGATTCTTATATTGTCAAGAGATTTAAAATCCTACGTGGAGAAACCTTGTTCGTTTTGGCACATTTTCGACGTGTTCTTAGTCAAGTTTATGTACGTGAGTATTTTTACCAATTGGATAATGTTTTTTCTACATGGTGACTAAGTAATGTTAAAAGATTTTTGATGTTTATTTACTATGGTTTTCCGTAAAAAACTAAACCTAAAACCATCATGTCTCAAAATGTAATTAAATGTTAATTTATTTACAATTAAGATTGATTGGTGATTAATTAATACCTCTGATCAAATTTCAACCCTCATGGGATTTATTGCATTTATC